GGCTGGCTGGGTTCACATGACATGGCAAACCACCCTGTGTTGTTCCCACGGCAGATGGATTTTTGCGTTAATTTACCAGCCAGCCAGTCATGTGACTACCTTGGGCAGTGCAGTTCTTGTGCTCCTTTCTCTGCCTTGCCGCACACCCTGACCGCTCCTGTGAGCAAACTCCCCATTCTTTCCCTATGAACTGCAGCAGCCTCCTCCTGATTGGTCCACTACTGTCCTGAGGCGGGTTCTTCTTTCCTCCTCAAAAGTACCTGCATGTCTGTGGCTGCTCCAAACCCCACAGGGATTGTTAGTAAATGAAAATTAACAGTTTCCCCTTCTCCCTCCTTGTATTTCCATACTGCTTCCCTGCTTTCAAAAGTAAACAGCAAGAGGGACACCTTGCTCAGCCAATGGGAAGAAAGCGATCAATTACACATCTGCTGCCAAAGACCTCACAGAGTTCAAAGGCATCGTTTCCATGGCAATTCTTATTTATTTATTTTATTTGTTTGTTTGTTTGTTCTTGCCAGGGGACTCTATGGTGTTTCCATTCCAACAATGGTAAAATCGGGACCCTAGGTCTGGACAACTGGAGAAGCCGCAATGAAGCGTGGAAGCAGACCATCAATTCTCTCAGTGGTTTCAGAAAACTACTCCTACCACACAGGAACTCCAGAACTGAGTCTGAATGACACAAGAGACCCACAATAGCAAGATTTCACCAAGGCTTCTCATGTTGTGTGAACCTACCCAATCAGTGGGAGCTCAACTGCCCTGTTATCTCCTACTATTAATCCTGTACTCATGCTACTTCTCAGTGGCATGACTGCTTATTGCTGCACCTTCAGTTACATGGGATACAATTTTCATTCATTTCCTGTAGCACCAGGAAAGAGAAATCAGAATTAGGTCTCTCATTCTCCAGGAAAGGCTCACAATCTGTGCCACTTATTATTAATTTTAATTTTATATTGTTATTTTTATATTGTATTGTGTTGTAAGCCGCCCCGAGGCTTCGGCAAGGGGCGGCATAGAAATGTTCTAATAATAATAATAATAATTCTAGTTTGTACAAAAGAGCACCAGACCAAACCAGCTTAAAAACATCTGGGCATGTGGTAACTTGCATTATTTTACACTGAATACTGAAGGCTAGTGATGAAGATCATGTCATTCAATAGTACTCTCTACTATTTTAAAAATGGGCTAGTTCAAGAAAAACTGTTGGTGCTCTTTGTTTCCTGATTTCCATGTCATGGGACAAACTAATCCTGTAATTTATAGTAGGAAAAATAATTTTAGTTGTAAATAAGTTGGACATTTTTCACAGAAAAACATAATGCTGGAAAATGTTCCATCCTGCATAATAGAAGAACTGTTAAGGATTTTTACTGCCAGTCTATACACTGTATACTCCAGAAAGGTTCTGCCAGAACCATGCTTCCTATAGCAAATCATTTCTCATGAAGTAATGTTTAGAAAAGCATCCATTGTCATACTGAGTCTTTATTTAAATATTTTAATTCTGAATTTTGATTCTTTCTTCTTTCACTGTTCATTGCTTGGGGATTTTGTTTGAAATAGAGCAGTATATACATCTTGCAGATAAAGAAGTATATCTGGAGTATATCTGTTAGTATACATGTCATTTTCTTCACACCAACCAGAGGCCTTCTGAGCGGTGGACAAGGAAGAGGCATTCTGTTGCTGCCATTGCCTAGGCTAGCCGTCCACAATCTAATGCCCTCCAGATGAATTACGACTGCAGCTCCACTCATCAATCTGACTCAGAAAGATGGCAGCTGCACTTCAACACATTTGGAAGGCAGCCAAACTGGGGGAAATTGGCCTAGCAACTGGAAGACAGCAATAAAGGGCAGCAACAGCAGGACAGTTGGCCATACTGGCAGGCACTTCTGGGAGATGAGATCCCAAACATCTGGAGATCTTTTTTCTATCCAGCTGTGCAGCAACCTGCCTGATCAGGAGAGTATTTTTTCCCTCTCTCGTATCTAGGATTCTCCAAGATCAACTGGCTGATCCAGGCTCTCCTGCCAGCTGCAGAGACACATCCTGGTTCCACTCGAGCTGCTCCCATGGCTGGAGACAACGCTGCCTAACTTGTCCACTGCTTGTGGAGTGGACAGCATGGCTGCCCAGTTGTTGCCATGGTGACTTGCACAGTCACAGCAACCAGGGTGTCCCACAAACAGACAGGCCAGGCAACAGTACTTGCCTAGCTTGCCATGTGTGTTTTAAAAAGTGTGGCAAGAGAGCTGAAGAGACGGAATCTGAGAGGTTGTTCCATATTTCTGGAATTAAAAATGCCAAAATTTGGGGCACTTCAAAATTTGAAACCCAGGCCCACAGGTCAAAAATCTGCATATTTGATTTATACCTGTATATGCAATTTCAAGAATAATTACTAGGACTTCTTTAAATTTCACAGGTGGCAAAGACAGAAAATTATTTTTTCATCCAAATTATCACAAATAAAAGAGTTGTTTGTTTTTGCTCAAATCATCTGAAACCACACAATTGACATGCAGGAAAAGGCTTTTTGGGGGTAGGGACATGCTATTGCATGTGAGTAGGCAAAGAGTTAACTTTTCCCATCCCAGCTACAATCCCTCTTGGAAATTGCCCACTGCATGACAATTAAACTGAGGGAAAAACCCCTTCCACTTGCACCAATGGATGCTCAGGCCTCTGTGGAATAGATCTGAGCCCTTGGGAAACAGTCTGAAGGTCAAGACTGTTAAGTACCCCTAGCCAAATAAATGTGTATTAGATTTAATTTTTGCCTTTCTTCCAAGGAGCTCAAGATGACATATATGATCCTTTTCCTCTCCATTTTATTTTCACTGCAACCCTGTGAGGCAGGTTGAGAATGAGTGACTGGCCCCAGAGGTACCCAGTGGGCTTCATGTCCAAATGAGAACTAGAACCTTTCTACTCTACTGCACCAGAAAGAAGCAGCTGGGGGCACAGACAGTCCTTGATATCTTGGGAAAATGCTTAATTTTCACAGCAACAAAAACAACAAATATGTGCCTTGTAGCATCTTGGAGACTAACAGAGCTTCTAGTTCATGACTTCTTTTGTAATAATCAATTTTTTAGACTTTGAGATGCTACAAGACCGTTCATTGCTTTGCTGCAACAGATTAACAAGGTCCAGTTGTTGTTTTACAAATCCCCACTACATCATCCTCAACAGCTCAGAGTTCTTCAAATTTCTCCTGCCAGGAATGCTTTTGGAACCATGCCCTACCTTAATGCATTGTTTATCAGTTTTACTTTATATATGAGTGTAGATGCATGAAAGGAACATGAAGCCTAAATTGTCCGAAGTGTTTACTGATATAGAGTCTAATGCCACTAAAATCTATATGGCATATTACAGCACTCCCAACTTATGAAGTACATCTTTACCAAATACATATTATGATGTACAGTGATAATCTTTAAACTGCCTTTTTCATCTGTTTAGGATTTGTTTAGGCTTCTGCTGCAGGGCAGAAGTCAGACTAATTTAGAGTAGGCATCATGCCACTCAGACAGATGGGGGTGACTTTTTGTAGCCAAGAGATTGTGTATGTTGCATCAGTTATGGGTGCTCAAGGCATAATTCCCAGCTGGGAGCAGGGAAGCTGCTGTCCATTCTGAGCTGTCCATGGCAATTAGCCATCAGATTGTTTTTAATCTAAATTCACTTATATTTTTTCATAACCATATAAGGGAATTCTCTGGATTTGGACAAAGTGTTGGCAAATTGTGCCTGACTTTATCTTTGCATTTTTGTTAGACGCAAACTTTGAGAAGGTGAAACTTGTTTATTTTGGATTGTTAATATTTTGCAAACTGTTCTCCGTAATTTGATTAATATCCCAAGCATCAAAGAATCTTTTGGCATGTTAAAGACCAGCTACATTATTCCACCATAACTTTCATGGACTGTCCACTTTATCAGATGCCAAATCTGTGGAAGTGGATAGTGTTCACATACATTTATGCTAGAATAAATCTGCTTGTCCTTAAGGTGCCACAAGGCTCCGTCATTCTTGCTGCAAGCAAGTAACATGGCAAATTACTATCCTAGCTCAGTAGCCTCAGTACATAACTGAAAATTAATTTCACAAACTAGTTAATCCTTAACACTACTTAATCCTAAACGCTCTCTATTTAAGCAAGCAATCATGGGGAAATTTTACCCGTGTCTTCCCCTTTTAGACGGGTAAAGTGGTATTAATGAGGAAAAAAAAAGACATTTTACTTCGAATTGATACAACCTATGGATGTGATTTTCTGGTATTTCCAAATATGCTGTTGCACTCATCGTACATTCAAAGAGGTTTGTCCTTGGTGACAACACGAACCTAAGAAACAAGTGTCACTTAGTTTACTGGGGTATATTTCCTAATAAGCGTAAACACTTGTTAGGATCAAGTCCTCAATCCAGTTCCCATTGACGACTGCATGACCAAGTGTCATCAGTCATTCCGGGCTGCTGAACGGAGCACACAGAGGCTATCCTTGTTATCTAGCGTAGCGTTTGAGGCATCTGTACTTTCACCACCACCCGGCAATATTCAGCTGAAAAAATGCGTTATCCCGAGGCTTGATGCTAACGCGTCAAAGGCGTTTTACTGTTCCGCGGAGAAACAGAGCAGGAACCAAGAGCAGGGTGGGATCTTCACCCGAGAATCCCGGAGGTGCAGCGCCAGTCCCCTGCCGCCAGCGCCCCACTCCCGCCCAAGCAGTGTAAGCTCTGGACGGGGGCGGAGGGGGGGCGCCTCTGCAGCGGCTCGTGCTGCCGGGGCGCATGAGCAAGCGCCAGCAAGGCGCCCGGTTCCTCAACTGCAGAGGCACCGAGCGGGAAACGCGGCGGCCGGAATGCGCCCTCCCAGTGGGAAGGAGGGCGTCCCGCCCTCTCCCTTCCTCCTCCCCCGCGGAGTGCTGCCTGTTCCGCGGGGTGCGCGTGCGCAGAAGTACTGCGGAAGCCCGAGCGGCGCGGAGTTGTGTCGATGAGGGTCGGCGGGGCCTCCCACCGGTGAGTGAATGGAACGAGAGTGACGCCAAGCGCTGGGAGGCGGCGCCGTGCTCCGGGCGCTCGTCTGCCCTCACCTGCCCCGGCAGGGGCAGCTGGTTCCGAGGAGAGAGAGAGAGAGAGAGAGAGAGAGAGAGAGGGAGGGAGCGGGGGAAGGTGGCTCGCGGATACGCGCTCCTCCTCTCCTGGGCCTTCCCTTGCGGTGGGGAGCTGTGGCGCCCGCCCCACGAGGGCAGCCTTCCCGCCCGGTGCCCCGGCTTCGTGGTGGATGAAGGGAGCAGGCGTGCGGGGGCCGGACAGCGCCATCCTCCCTCCCCATTCGGCGCTGGGGCGGGCTCCAGGGGCACCGCAGGTCCGCCGGGACGTAAGAGTAGCCCTGGGTTGGACCGCAGGCCTATGTAGCCCTAGCCACAGAGGCCAACTCGCTCCCCGTTGCACTACACATATATTCATATATTACAGTAGGACATGAGTGCCCTAGTATCCTGCTGCTGCGGCTCCTCTGAAACTGCCCTACGGTGTTTCTGAGGCCAGATGCAATATATGTCATGACCAACACCCACCAGAGGCTGGGAGTTGTCCATCACCACAGGTGCCATTCATGGTGTGGAAGCCTGTCTGGTTCCTCAGGGTCCAAGTGTGGAGCTGGAAAGTGTAGCAAAGACTTGGCAGTTTATTTGTTGTTCAATGAAGGAGTCTTTACCACGGCATCAGCCGAGGAAGCGCCATCCAACTCTGTCACCTTTCTGGCTTAACTGCTACGTGACTGAGGAAGATTTATTTATTTCAAAAAATTCTATACTGTTTATAATTCCATAGAAATATCTAAATGGTTTACATCAGTAAAAACAATTTACAGTACTTGATTAAAATTGAATTAAATCAGATATATATTAAAATTAACAGTTAAAATAATGAATAAATAAAAAGATCCTGGTCTGACTCTGAAAAGACTAGAATCAACGCTAGTTGAACCTTTCTGGGGAGCATATTCCACAGCTGAGGTGGCACCACTAAGAAGGCTCTTAGAAGAAGAAGAAGGGCCTCCATAGGTGATCTTAAGGACCAGTCAGGTATATACAGAAAGAGGTGTTCATTTAGATAATCAGGTCCTAAACTGTTTAGGGCTTTCTATGTGATTGCCAGCACCTTAAATCGGACCTGGACTTCAGTTGGTAGCCAGTGCAGATGGTCCAGGACTGGTGTTATATGGGCACATCTGCAAGTCCTTTTCAGTAGTCTGGCTGCTGTGTGTGTGTGTGTGTGTGTGTATATATATATATATATATATATATGTACCAAAATATGTTAAAATAGTCCAAATGGGAAGTTACTAGTGCATGTGTCACTGCTGCCAGGGTCTGACGGTGACACAGCCAGTAAACTCTCTTAGCACCTTGCCAGCACCTTAGCATCCTATGCTGGCAAGGGATCCAGGAGCCTTGGTGGCGTAATATTATTTTGTTGCATTTGTGGCCAAAGAACGGCCAAGGAAACCCTCTGCTGTCCTTCCTAGGAGGTGAGCAGCTTGCCAACTTGGCCACATCTGCTGAATGGGAAGCTTGGTAGTGCAGCAGGCAAAGAAACTCCCACTTCTTGTTCTAGATGAGTGAGTATCTGGCCAATTTTGATTTTACGCAGCTGAAGTTCTTCTAATATCTCTGCACTGTACAGGGCTGGCAGCAGGGTTGTGTGAGCTCCGTGCATAGTGCTACTGATTTGGTTCCTCTAGCAGCAGCCTAGGCCCCTTTCTGGCATTGCTGCTTCCATCATCAAGTCCTTGCCAGGTGCTGCTGCTAGTAACCCACCTTCTTCCCTCAGATGTGCTTATCCTGTGACAACATTTGGATGGAAGCAACTGATTAGCACTAGGTGGGTACTATTTATTTATTGCATTTTTGTACCTCCTTATACCATTCCATACTACCTAATATTTCACAAAATGCAACATGCCCTCTTGTCGTTCATCCAAAAGCACTGCTTTTTCTCTGTGAGCCTGTCTGGTGGAAGCAGCACCATTTGGGTGCCCAAGAGTAGCAGCAGCAATTGCAGGAACTGCCTAATGGCGGTGGAGAACGCTATGGGGTAAGCAGCATACCCAGTGGCTTCTGCTAGGGAATGTTGGCCCCAGTGGCTGTCTGAGTATGTCTGGTGTTGGACCTAGTGAGGAGCACTCAAAGAGCCCACAGCCCTTCTTCTGGCCTTGGAGCTGGGAAGTGCTGCGTTACAGGACTATCACTGCCCACATCTGCAGTTCCCAGAATGTGAGAAGAGCTGTGGCTTGTCACACTTGCTGCTGCATGGTAATGGTATGTCACTGTGCCCTCTTAACTCCTGGAGATGTACCTGCTTCATTAGGGACACAAGTTGCTTGTTTGCCTTGCTTTGAGCTAATAAATAGAGGAAGGTTCCCTACATACAAAGCTTTGCAAACTTTCAAAGAGGTGAATGTGCTTTTGTGTACTTGACTGTAATAATTGAGAAAGGCAAAGTGAGTCTAGCAAAGTGTAACACAGCTTGCACCAACAAAGGTAACACCATATGAGGAAGAACTCATCAGACAAACAACATGGGTGCACTTCCACACAGCCATGTACCCAGAAGTATAACTTCGGGAAATCCTCCGGTGTCGTTATAAACCTATACTATACTATAGGTACAGTACTATATAACTGATTGCATTAGATGGCTACCTAGGCTAACTTTGTTGGACTTACAAACAAATTGAACTTATGAACACACTCTCAGAACAGAACTTGTTTGTATGTAGGGGACTGTACTGGGACAGAAGAAACCCCTAGAACAGCGATGGCAAACCTTTTACAGACCGGGTGCCCAACCAGCAACCCAAAACCCACTTATTTATTGCAAAGTGCCAACACTGCAATAAAACATGAATACTGAGGTTTTAGTTTAAAAAGAACGACTCACAGCCAGTCTAAGCAAATATATATATATATCCTTGGCAGTATACTCAGCCACCATGCGAACGCTCAGATGAGTTGCAGCTTGTGATGTCATCGCCTGGTGCCGCTACTTTTTTTGAGCATGAGCATGGCTCCTATGTGCACTGTTATCCAGTGCTCAGCTGCTGGGGCGACTTGGCTCACATGCTGTCAGAAAGGCCCCTGCATGCCCACTGTGGCATGTGTGCCATCGGTTCGCCATCACTGCCCCAACTCTAACCAGGTGATTTTGAAAAAGCCTTCCTTGAGTAGCTTTTTCTGCACAGTTCATCATTTCTGCCCATTCTAAGCACATTCCAACCATCAAAGTCATACCAGGACACCTCTTTTTTCTAACCCTAACCCAGTGATGGCAAATGTTTTAGAGACCAAGTGCCCAAACTGTAACCCAAAACTCACTCATTTATTGCAAAGTGCCAACACTGCAATAAAACTTGAATACTGAGGTTAGTTTAGAAAAAACAACTCACAGCCAGTCCAAGCAAATATATATATATCCTTGGCAGCGCACTGACCCGCCATGCGAAAACTCAGACGAGCGCAGCTAATTAGTCGCGGTTTGTGATGTCATCCCCTGACCCGGCTACTCCTTTCCAAGCATGCGCATGGCCCCTATGTGCGCTGTTATCCGATGCTTGGCTGCTGGGGCGACTTGGCTCGCGTGCTGACAGAGAGGGCTCTGAGTGCCCGCTGTGGCACGCATGCCATAGGTTCATCACCACTGCCCTAGAGGTTTGACATGAAACATACAAAACAGTTCTCCTCTGTGCCATACCATGTTAGGAATAACTTGAAATATATGTTTAATGTGATATTTTAAATTATACTAAAGAACTATGCTATGATATTTATTATCTGATATATTAGGTCAGTCACAGGTTCAGTCTGTCTGGTGGGTTCTTCACACAAGCAACATCTTTCAGGTTCTAAAGTAAATTTAACAGATCTGTCAGTGATGGTCTTTGATCAACATTGGATAACAGTCCTGATTCCTGTCCAGCTGTGACTGTTTCCATAGACTCTAGCAAAGTGGTTGGATCTGCCAGATCAGGGACAGGTAATCTGAACAGTTATACAAAGAAAGTAATTCACTACTCGAAGTAGTGGATTTAAGGCGACTTCATGCACTTATTCAAGCAAGAGAATATTGCGTATTCTTACCTTATTACCACTGACATGATTGGTAAGATACCAAGTATTTTATTTTCGGAAGCATTTGTTTTAATGGTTAGAGCACAGACACCTAAGATTTAGGATAGCACTTGAATGCAACAACCTTTGATAGGTTCGTCATGTCATGTGTCCTCAATACTAATCCTGGCTTTTCAAAAGCATTGTGGAGCCCCTTGGCATATTATAATATGTAACTGACTCCTTGGAATGTTAATCAAGATTTGCTATATACTTGTAATTTCTTGAGAATTTATCCAAGATTTTTCAGGTGATCCTCATCGTTGGATCATGTTCCCATCTAAGGAGCAGATACCTGTTATCAAATTGCAAGTGTAGACATAATTGCCAATGAATTATATTGGAACACTTGCTTTTCAGTGCCAGTAGTTGCCAACTTTGTTGACTACTCTTCTGCTTCTGCTTGGATAAGCTTGTGCCAGAGTCATTTTCTCAAACTATTTTTCTCTGGCTAATTAGATGAAAATATCCAGTCATTTGAGGCAAGGAGCAGTGTTCTGTTTTCAGCATGGAATTAATGATCATCCTGAAGTCAACACCGATCTCTGCCAGCACATAATCTTTTTCAGGACAAGCAGAATCTTGTTGCCCACCCACTCCAATCAACTTTAGGCCTTCTAATCTGCCCAGTTGCATAGCCACTGTCTTTCCAGCAGCAACTGGAATTTTTTGGACTTTCAAGAATTCGTGCTTTGATGCCACCAGTCAAACCAATGCTGGCCTATTATTTCTCAGCTGCCCTATGCTCTCTTCAAAAGCAATTGGTTCTAGACAGGGTTTTTTTAAATCTCTTATGAGCTGATCTTCTGGTGGACGTAAAGCTTTAATAAATTTCCAGTCAACTTTAGTCCAGACAATTTTGGTCATCTTCTGAATACAACACACAGATCTAGGTTAGGAATCAGCAGGATCATCGTTTTTCCCTATGTATGTTTTTAGCATAAAATCTAATTAGTTCTTTACTCCTCAAATGTTCATAAACTCTCTTTCAAGGAATAATTGCCAATTCAGTCTTGAAAATGTTCCCCTCTACTAAGAACATTATATATAAGCGTTCTTTATCTTCATCTTTTATGCAAGACACTTCTGTAGAAGGAATATTTAATGCAGTTAAGTCTTTCTCTCTGCCTTCATAACATGTCTTTTGCAGTGCAGCCTGGCCTTTTCTCTCAATACTTGACAATGAAATTAAAATATTTCCATTTTAATATAACAGCTCCCCAAGGCCAGTGCATTGTGTGTGGAACTTGGATACCTGTCACAGCCATAGTCTAGGTGTGCAGTTGGACACTGGAAGCTCTCACAAAATTTCAGCTGTTGGCATTTAACAGCCTCTGTCCTCTGTGTTCTGGGACCTGAGAGCAAAGATGGGTGAAAAGGCTGCAACAGTAAATAGTCCCAATGTTGTTTGCTTTGTGATCACTCAGTGAAACAGTTTTCCAGTCAGTGATTGCTTCCAAAACTATCTAGCAGCTAACTGGGTCGAGTGACCTATGCCAATCAGCTGTTCTTCAGGTGCTTTGTACAATAGCTCCCATTATCACTGATGAGTGACAATGGAGACTAGGGCTAATGGAGTTTGTAGTCCAATAATATATGGAAGGTCCCAGTCAGAAAAGGCTGAGTAGAGCATGTTGGTTCCTTATACTGTTTGCTGGAGTTTGCATGAACATTAGTCCATGGTACCTCAGTACTCCGCAGATTATATTCATAGAACTGCAGATAAGGATATCTGCATATTATGGAAAACATACTTAGGGGTGGGTTAGACCTGCAAGAGAGAATGGCAGAAGGCAGAGTAATTGTAGAATGGTGGCTTTTGCTCAGAAAGTTTACCTGAGTTACTGGCTTATGGGTATGAGCTGCTTCGTTAGTGGCTGTGAGGCCACTCCTAAAGAAATTTTCCCTGGATCTTGAAACATTTGATCCAGTTACAACTATCTTCTTGTTAGGAAAAGTGCTTGAAGGGGTGGTTGCTGTGCAGTTCAGTCTGATTCTCTGCCACAGAAGCAGCCATGGTCACTCTGATCTATGCCAATAGAGGGAGAGGAGTGCAACCATATTAATTATCCTCATTCCCCATCAGCCTTTGATACAATTAGCCACGGTTCCTTTTTGCACATGCTTTCGTGGTTAGGAACTGGAGGCAGTGCATTGCAGTGGTTCTGCTGTTGTGTAGACAAGTGTCTCCAGAAGGTAATGCTGGCTGACTACCACTCTGCTGCTGTTTCTTTTATAGGCAATATGCCCAAATCTGAATTAATTTGATAATAGGCTGGGAATGTTCATAATATTAAGAAACTAATTATAAAGTTCTTTTCCTTTTTAGGCCTATTTTCCCCTTTCTGTTTGGTGTGAGCTGTCTTCAGATTATGTACAATGGGACTACGGATTCATTTTGTTGTTGACCCTCAGGGCTGGTTCTGTATGGGCCTGATCATCTTTGTTTGGCTTTTCAACACTATCTTCATTCCAAAAATCATCCTCTTTCCACACTATGAGGAGGGACATATATCTGCAGTTACAATACTGTGTAAGTCCTGTTTGTCACCATTGCCTTCATTCAATTCTTATGCTAGAGCAGCCATTTACAAACTTCTAATGATTACCTGTTTGGCTTTTAACTAAATATCCATTAAGTCAATCAAATGCATATATTGGTTCAGTTCAATGTTTGCGGCTTTAGGGGGAGATTTTTGAAGAGGTCATGTTTTTCTAAATTTAAATTGAATCTCTGTTAGCAAAATAGAAAGCATAAGTTAGGATCTAGACAGGCCTCATCATGAATGGAAATCCTTTTTGTTTCACTTGGGAAATCATTATTAAGTGAAAACTTCCCACTGGGCAACAGGGCAAGACAATAATTTTCTTCAAATCTTTCTTCCTCCTGTAACTCCTGTTGCTACATCCTGTACTATTTCAGAGGGATCCCCATCCTTCCAGAACTGAGAGCTAGTGCTGGGGTCTGCAGAAGAAAGGAGGAATTGGAGAAACTCATTATTCTAGATCCAGTGCTATTTGATATTTTCCTCACATAAATAAAGCTGTGATCGTTATAATTGTGTTCAGGCGAGGTAGTTTGACAAAAACTAATGTTTGACCAAATATTCCCCCAAATATGTTGGGTAGGAACCTTGTGGCCTGACCATATTCTCAAGACAGGAGGCACAGGAAGCAGTAAAGCAGACAGCAGGGAGGTATAAAAGGGAGAAGAAGTGAGAAGGAATTTGGCAGTAGATGGGCTTGTACAAAACAGATGGAAGAAGAAGGAGGCAAGGGGGAAGGAATAATAAGGGTGAGAGATGGAGATTTTTAAAAGTAAAGTCTAGAAGCTGAAGTTGACAGTGATCCAGTGGGATGACTTAAAGGGAAGGGAGGGTGATGGGCCATCACAAACTATTTCAGGTGTACTTTCGTGAAGATCAAAGGGTCTTCCAGAATCCCCTGCCTAGCCTTCTTTTACACATTTTCCTATCTTTCTACGGCCATTCTGCATATTGGTCTTCATATAATCCCGGCCAATCCAGAATAACAAAGACAGTCATATGGTGCTATCCGTGAAGGCAAACAATACCCCAGTTGCATCACACTGTGTCTTCTGATACACATCAGAATGAATGTGATTTCAAACACACTTCCACATTTGCATAAACAAAGTATTTTGTTAAACATGTTAACATACACAAGACTTCTACTTGCACATCCAGGAAGGGAACATCACTTAGAAGAAAACCATACTTTGCATGCAGATTTCCCCAGGTTCAATCCCTGCTATTTCTGGCTAGGATCTTGGGTGGCAGAGCTGGGAAATCTGTCTGTCTAAGACTTAGAAAACTCCTTTCACTCACAGAAGGTAATACTGGGTTATGTGGTTCAATAGTTGGATTGAGTATAAGGCATGCTGCTTTATTCATAACCACTCATATTTTTTTTAAAAGGGTTAGTGTTACGTGTGAATCTCTCCTATGACTTGAGAATAAGTGAACAGCTACATGCTTCTGAAATGGGAGCAGCCATAATTTTCTAGATTTAATTTTCTAGTAATGGAGAAATACTGAAGTGGGTGAAGAGTGCATAGTAAGACCAGAACCTCAGACCTTATTTGCGTATTATTTCAATCTGTGTAGCACTTTTCTACACACAGTGCTCCAGGCAATACAGTGAAAATACAGTAAGAATGTTTTTTTTAAAATATCTAAAAGAGCAGTTAAAATGAATAAAAAACACAAAACATAGTGACAGTCAATGAGACATCCAAAAGAAAATTATGAGATTCTTCAAATGATATGGCAATTCAGAAAATGGAAGTTGGCCAATGGATGATTTGATATATTGTCTTCAGTGCCTTTCCTTCCTGTCCATTGTATGTCATTCATAAATGAAATGGCGATCCAGAGTTGCAACATCTTTTAAAAACTGCTGCAATTAACCTTGGCATTAATCATCCAAAGGAAGGTACAATGAATCACTTCATAATCAAAATCAGGTGTAACTCTCATATTTTGAAATCATTGATACGAGCGTGCTGTCTTCCAACAGTATTGACTGAATCTCTACACTGAGTCAGACTGTCATATCAAAACTTAATTAGCAAAGATATGTATGAACATATGACAGTACATTTGTCTGAGAAACATTAAATCCCTTTTGCGTGAGCAGTGAGTCTGGCTTGCACAGTGAAATCAGTGAGCACAAGAGGATCAGTGCCCCACTGGATTCTGTGCATAATTTCTCATTTCACCCCAAATGAGAATTTTGAATAAGATGGACTATTAAAATGAAAGGCTTACTATCCTGCCTTCTTTTAAAGCTGGCAGTCATAGTGTATGAAGCAATGAGCAGAATCCAATGGGGCATTTGCACTCTTACCAATTATTTTCTGTTCTTCTGATTCTCTTTTGCAAGCAGGACGCAACACTTATGGAAGGAAGACTCAGTGCTTCCCTAAGAGAAGGGCTGAAATGAGCAAAAATGCTCATTTCTTAAAGGAGGAAAGTTAGTGGAACTATGAAATGAGCATTTCTACTTCCTTTTGGAAGTGGTGTCCACTTGGGCAATGTAATTGGTGAGGTGGAAGAGAATTGGTGGAGGTGGAAGCATCCTGTTGGATTCTGCCTTGTGGTTAATTGGAGGCTTCTTGGTTTGTTTGCTTGCACTATGAGGGGGAAAACAGCATATTTTTTTGTCTTATACACCATTTTTTGTCTTATATATGTTGGAGGATTTCAGTGGTGGACAGTCTTTTTGACAAGTATGCCACAAGTTCTAAGTCCAAAGGCTACTACAGACCTTTTACACTCTATATACAGCCTTTATATAAAGTCTTGGTGTGGTTACAGTCCTAGTCTCTTAAGCTGGGGAGTGAAAGAGGAGTATGGAAGAAATAGATAGTATAGATCTAGCCCTGTGCCATTGCTGGGCATATGGGCATCTTGATCCTGATCAGAAATGCTGCAGATACCCATTGTCTGTGCCACTTGTGTTGTGGGTTCGCCGCTCAATTCACTCTGTGTTTTGCAGTAAGGCTTGCTGTGTCTTCTTTTTCCATTTGTTTTGGTTTTAGACAACAAGAATGGCCTTTGAATCTTTATAGATTTGTATACAATTATTTTCCTCCATAATCCCAGGAAAGACTGTTAATAGCAGTTTTCTGAACAGAAACATCTTTTTTGCAGGTTACTACATATTTGCATTATTCTGCATTGTCTCGTTGGTGAGAGCCTCTGTAGCTGATCCTGGAAGACTACCTGAAAGCCCAAAGATACCAAATACAGGTGACATTTTAATTTAATGGGCGTAGTTTAAAAAACCTCAATCCATTTCAGCCTGACTTCACCATTATGGCAACTGTCTTGGGGGCCATGAGGCACCATTTTTATCGAGAAGCAGTAAGTGAAGGACTTTATTGCTTTTACACAGCTTTCAAGGTCATCAGCCATATCTTTCTGGACTGCATGTAGCAGGTGGGGCAGTGCATTTCAGTGGTTCTGCTCCTTTTTACAGGGAGCTCCAGGAGCAGGTGCAGGGATAGCGTAGTGCTACCTAGGAGGGGGCTGTTGAGGGAGATGCCATAGGATTGTAACTTGTCACCCATGTCCTTTAATGGACAGGTTCACATTACAGGGTAAGCCAACCTCTGAATAACTAGCACTGTATTGGTTCTTCACAGAGCAATCCATGGGGCACTGGACAAATCAGGCTCATCCTGGGCTTTCTCTCCATCCCCACTCATTCCTCCATCTGGTGTCTCAGGGGACGTGGTGGCTAAAACCTCCTTGCTTCCTCTTCCCACCATGGTTATCAGTTTTTGTTTTTTTGCTTCTTGGGACTCTTTTTACCCAGAGAAGGATTTTCATGATATCCAAGGTCACAGCACCTTCAGACTGCCCAGACTGTACATTGGAGGGGATGTCACTGGTTTGCCATGCTTTTAAAAATTATGTTTAAGTGCTAGACATTTGCATAAATACATTCATTAATTGAAAAGGAATAACTGGAGTTGCACACTTGTGATGTTCCAAAATGGGAGGCTTTGGCCAAACAATGGGTAAGGAGTTACTGTATCTGCTGTCAAAGTACAGCAGAAAGGCTGCAATAAGCTTATTAATTTATTTAAAATATTGTGCCACAGCACCTCTGGGTTTGGGTTGGATTTTTTGAGTTTTTGCTACCCTGTCTAAAGATGAGAGGTCAAGGGGGAGAGCAAAGAAGGCATCTATGAGAAAGTGGTGGCATGTAAATCACCCCCCTCTTAGTGATATCCTCTGGTTTTGTGGTTGGACCTCACAGTTCTCTGCGAAAATCACCAATTTCGACATTTCCTGAGAGGTGTTTGGGAAAGTGGAAAAGTGATGTGCTCATTTATTCTAGCTGTTAGTCTTGATAGGAGCTATCAAAGCTCAGTCTTCCTTTTATTTTTATTTATTTTTTGACAGGGACCTGTATATGCAGGACTGTATACTTTTTTTAAATGATTGGCCTCGTCAAACCTCTGTTTTAAAAGGAGAACTGAGTTTTAATAGCTGTCAAGATTGTGCTCTTGTAAATTGTGTGACTTTTCTACTTTCTTGAGCACCTAGAGTCTTGGGAAATAATGGAAAAAGTGCAGGGCACTGAGAACAGTTGGGTGCAACAGAAAAACTAGAGGGAAAGGGAGACATCTACTTGCTACTCTCTTTTGTGAGCAAAAATCCATCTGGGGCTTTTCTTCTTATTTGACAGCTGTCATATGAGAAGCAACACAACATGTTGACCTATTGAACCCTTTCAGGATTCTGTACTTTGACAGAGGATACCATCTAGCACATTGATAACACAAAGCTGCATCTTTTGGGATAGCCAGGGTTGCATATTTATGCAATTCTAAACTACCAACAAATTTTAAAAAAAGAAAAAAAAAACACACAAATCTCAGCTGTTAAAAAAAAGTTGTGAACAGTCACTCTAGTATGCTGCTTGCACACTTTGAAATGCGATTGTCACTTTGGAAATCATGAGAAGTGATCTCTGGAAAGCAACAACAATCTTGGTTGCAATGTGGAGAAAAGACAAGGTGGGTTTTGCTGTGGAGTTTCTTGAGATACCTGCTGGAGGGTTCAGGGGGAAGGATGTGGAGCAACCACAGTCAGCTCAGTCATCTGCTGGACACACAATGGGTTTTTCTATAAACAGCCCACACTGTGTAGCTTATTCACTTGCATTAATATGGCTATAAATGACTTGAAATTACTCAAATCCTCCAAATTCAGTTTGAAAACAGCACAGTACAGTATACAAATCAGTATATCTACTTCTTTGTTTCTGTATTTGGTTGAATTAAAAACTTTAGATAGTTCTTCAAACACAGTTGCAGAAGAAAACTAAAGAATCTTAGTGATATTTTGTTCCATCATGTTAACATAAACTGCATATTATTTTGTAAAATTGTTATTCACTTTCCTTCCACACTATTGTGAATACTGGTATGGTCAGATGCATTAGTTGCATGCTTTAAATCACACTGGAAAACTTGCCTTCTGTTAATGGTAACTCTCTTATTAAGGAGTAACACCTTTATGACATTGGCTTTATGGGAACAGATTGAAAATCAGTTTCCCATCTGGCATTATTACTGGTTTAATGATCTTGAATATTGGGTTTCCATACTGCTAATGTGCAAATGATGTCATTTTTCAACAAGATGAGGAACATGGCAACCCTCAGAAAAAAAGACTTAAAACTGAGTCTATATAAATGAATTCAATGGCATAATTTTGCAGACTTGTCATTTTGTATATGAATTCTGTTTAATTAAATTATATATATAAGCTAAATGAGAAGCCCTTGATCATGTAAACATTTATTTTGCCTAAATAAATTTCTTTTGCATTTCTAATTTAGCTCAGCTCAGTTTTACTTTAACCTGTAGTTTTGGTGTGCTCAAATGTGAAAATAAAATTTATACAATTTCTTCATAAAGAGTAAAGCATTGCTGTTGATTGCATCCCAACCAATCTTGGGATGAAACCCCTATTAATGAATGAGTATTCCAAAATGAAATGCTTTCTCAAAAGCAAAATTACCTTTAAAACAATGCATATGTAGACACAATTTGGAGAGAATCAGAAGCATCTAAGTTTATTTGATATTAAATAAGACTGAAGCAGTTAGTAGCTTCCTTAACTGCTATTTATCTAACTTAAACTAAGCTCACAAACAAGACACAATTTTCACTGCAGTACAACTTTATTATGGCACAGATTTTCAACATTCACTTGAAGGGAAATACTTAATAATTGCTGTGAAGTGTTCTTTGACAGACCTAGTAGATTTGTTCTGTCCCATGCACTGTAACTACATAATTATAAGGAACTGATCAACGCAGAACATGTTCTAATAGTCTACCCTTGAATGTATTGACAGGTCCAAGTATAAGAAAAATAGTGCAGTCTTCAGCAAAATAAAATGAAGTTTTAGGCTTATATATCTGTGGATATATAAATAAAAGAGTTCATGCACTCATTTCATCCTGTTGGTATAGTGGAGGAATAGGGGTGTATAGAACTGCTGTTCAAAGGAAGTTCTTCCTTTGTTAAAGAACTGGAGATCTCCATGCATATTGTCAAATGAATATTGGCTTGATTTGGATGAAGATGATGCATTTCACTGAAGATGCAGACCCATGCAGAACAGACAAAAGGAGTTAAGTTCTCCAGCTACAGGAGCAAGCAAACCTGCTACTCCACTATGCAGCTGGAATATAACTGTATGGATTAGTGCTATGTGGTCAGAGCAGGCAGAATTACAGCATAGAGTCTTCTGGTTATACCTATTTATGACCGGTCTGTATTCCATATTAGTTTATTTTCCTGTATTCCACATTAGTATTCAATTTCTGACAATGGGAGTCATGCAATACATGCTGAACAATTGTATTAATTGTTATAGAAATTGATAGCAATAGAACTTGCAGTGCAGTCACTTTACTAATTATTCTGAACTGACTGAAGTCAATACGACTATTCCACCAAATGCTGTTGGAAGGTGACTACAGATACAAATCTCACTTGCTCCCAGTTGTGGAACATTTTTCTGAGCAATACCATGACTTTACTGATCTAAAAAAGAACTTGCCACTTTTTATAAATGAATATTTTTTACCAAGTCAGACTGCACTTAAATGAAGGCCAAGGATTAAAACATATTTGGATGTTTAGAACCTAATTAAGCAGATAATCATTTGACTCTTTTTGCTTTCTTCTTTCGCTTTCTAAATAGCTCATTTTCCAGCAAAGCAGATGTTTTTGATCACGTCTTCTATTTGTTTACCTAAAATTGTGCTAGCTTTCCATTTACTTCATGAAGAGTTTTGTGAAATCAGAAACTTGCATATTCTTAAACACATTAAGGGCACAACCTTGTGTATTTTTAGACAGAAAAGGCCATTCAACTGCTAGCATTCTCCAGCTTTTATTTATTTAATGTATTATTAGTTATGTTTGAAAGCCATCCCTTAGCATTACTAGGAGTTGTACGAGACTTTTTTGTGTGTAAACATACATAGGATTGCACCTCGTTAGTGCATTTATATCTTATTTGAGACTAATAGAATGGTTGATTAAAGCACATTGGGGTCTTTGCACGTAAGAACACCCTGTGGGTTAAGCATTCCATGGTCTTCAGGGAGAAGCATGGGCTGACTCCCTGCGTTTGGTATGGGGTCACAGATGTCATGCACCAAAGGAGCGTGAAGGAGCCAGTAGTGGTTGTGAATTAAAAGTGAAAGTGGTGGAAGTACGAGGCAGCAGCCTATGCATGGTTTAACCAAATTTTTAAATTGCATGCAAACCAGGTTGGTGTTGTTGATTGGGTTGGGGACTATTTTTGTATGTCGCTTTAAAAAAAAATCTCAACAGCATTAGCCACAAATCCAGAATGCCTATATTCTGTCTGTAAGGAAGCAAAAACACAGCAGTTCTAAAAAAATGTTTTTACAAACCGTCATATCTTTTTAGAAAGAGACTTTTGGGAGTTATGTAACAAATGTAATATGATGAGACCAAAGCGTTCCCACCACTGCAGCCGCTGTGGACACTGTGTTAGGAGAATGGATCATCATTGCCCATGGTAAGATGTGTATAATTTATTTCCAGATCACATCCTATTTTGGAAACATGAGTTCTAATGTCAGAATTGTGACTCATTATGCTTTTCTCACTTTTGCGTAATTCATAGTAATGATACTGTCATAAAGATCAGAAACCAAAAAAGTAACACTAGGATTTGAGCTGGAAATTTTGATTTTTCAAAATTAAAAGCTAAGTTGAGAATGGTATATTAAAGCTGGACTACTGAGTGACATTAATATTAAATTTCAAAAATAGCATATAAGCAACAAATTCTGGATCACATAAAGAAACAAATTTCTTTAATCTTTACCAGTAGAAAGATCAGCATATCATGTTTTGAGTTTCTAAAACTTTTCAAATAATTTTATGTTTAAAGTAAGTTATTTCATGTACATATATGGTTCTGTTTGTTAGGTTAAATATTTGCACAGAACAAGAATGAATCCCCTGAACTAGAAAAAGTCACTTATCAGTACCAAAAAAAGAAAAAAGAATCAAGCTTTTCATTAATAGTTAAGTTATGGGCATCTTGCATGTCAATGCAAATTCTTCATACAAAAAATAGTAAAATGTATTGCTTGTTGTGGGTGTGTCCCTATTAACCTTTATATGTATGAATGTGTAGTTAGTTTAGATCATATGGTAGTTTAATCATACTGTGCAAATATACAAGTACTAATATAATTTCTTTATTTTAAAAGGGAACAAATCAGAAACTTAAAGTATGGTTTAAAGTCGGCATAAGGTCTTATCTTACTCTGAATTGGGCATCCATATTTTCCCAGTTCAGGTGAAATGAGAAACTATGGATGAGTGGAAATTTCTAGTGATTTGTTCAAGTCCAAGTCAAGTCACAAGTCACTGCAAGATATTGTCAAGTCTCAAGAGCCAATTTTAACAGAAGGGAGTTGGTGGTGGGGTGTCTCTGTGGGGAATGGGAGAGTTGTAGCTCCCCAATGTTACCACCTGCACTTTGCTCAGTGATGGACTGAAGTGCTTTACTTCAACCTCGATTTATTTTTAAAAAGCTACGGTGTTATTCAGATTTATAAAGTTTGCAATTTAGAAAAATGATTTTCTTGACACGATTGGCCCCCAAGATGTTACTCTCTCTGGAAATGTGCAGGGACAGAGCAAAGGCAGCAAGCAGGAGAAGTGTTGTTGCATTTCCCGCCAAGGAGAACAAAGGCACCCAAAAGAGCTGAACCCTTCTCCCATGCAGGTGGTCCCCGAGTTAGGGATGAATTCCATTCCTGAGAATGTCCTTAAGTCAAATATGTATACAAGTTGGATCACATGAGTAAGCCAAATGTTTGCCTTGGCATATGTATATAGTTTACCTTTCTGTGCATATAAAACACTTAAGAAACACTTCCATATTCACTAAAACATCTTAAACACAACACAGCATTGTAAAATGATAATAATACAGTAATAAAGTAGCTACAGGTACTGGAGAGAGAGCACGTGCAAGAGAGTGTGAGCAAGAGCACGAACACCTGTATATGTGTATGGATATACAGTATTGTAAAAAACAAAAGAAATAGTTTTAAAAACACTTTAGAACATTCTTTCAGATTAGTGTCTTACTGAGTGAAGCTAGCTCATTATTCATTCTTGCATAGATTATAACAATATCATGGATATGAAGCATTTTGAGCACTTTATAGTACTGTATGTTGTTTGTTCTTTTTGTTTATTCATTTTATGAATATATTCCTGAGTGCTCTACTAATGCAATAACCCATAAGAATGCCACAGTTCCAAACAAAACTAAACCTGAAACAAAATAGAGAAAATGATCAGAACTTACTTTCTTTTTATAGAATTGGGTAATATTTACAGGCCTGTTGGCCTCTTTGGAGGGAACCAAGCCTGTGAAATTCTACTCAGACAGGATCTGTCTGTCCCTCTCCCTCTCCCACACAGAGAGAGAGCGAGTGAGCGAGCAAATGTGCATGCATCATTTCCCCATCTGTAGTATGAGCATGCTAGTAGCTTCATTTCCCCATCTGTGGTATGAGCATATTATTGATCTAGTTCCCCTTTAGCATTTCCCCTTGTAACCAAGCCCTCAGCTGCTGCAAGACCACTTATGATGAGAAAAAGAAAATGGCTGTTCAAACAACTGTTGAGGTCTGCTTCAAGAAAGCAATTCCAGTGGTAACCTCCTCCTCCAGCACCACAGTCAAACCTAACTCTTCAGCACTGGGTCTATCTCCATCATCATCTGTTAATGTTAGGCTTAATCTTATCTCATGGATTAGGAAGTTATGAATGAAAACAGGATTTCAAGGATTTCTAGAGAACTATCTGCCCACTGATGATGTATCTCCAAATGCATCACATAGTTCCCTGGAGATATTCATGGCTTTTCATTAGAGATATTCATATAGGATTTATGGCAGTCCACATGTTCATAAGTATGTAATCTGGGGACTATGTGTATCACCGCCTCTTTCCCCACCCTGCCCCTTGTCCCTCCCTTCTACTGCCTCCTTCATGCCCAAAAGTGACTTGTAAAAACAATCAAAATCTTGAGTCACTTGATTGTTGCTCCCAAATCAAGTCTGAATTGAGTCACTAACATGACTTTAGTCAGACTTGGAAGTGAGTCACTTGACTCAGGTCCCCAACATTGGAAATTTCCAGGTTTAATGCTCCATAGTGTGAGGAAAGAAGGGGCTATATAACTGGGCGGAAAGCTTGTGCATATGTCAGTTTATTAAGCCATGATGCTGAGTTGGGCCTATGTATTGATTGTGATTATAGAAGAGAAAACTGATGTAATATACAAACTTCTCCCACGCTATCCTTGCTACTAAGAATGTTAGGGGAAGAGTGACAGGATGTGAATCCATCACATTCCCATATAAACCAAGGACCACCTTTTATGTGTCTGTGAAAGGCCAAGATGGAGGCAAGTGAGGGATCAGAAATGCAGAAATAAAAAGGTGTGAATATTCTTTCTGTTCTGACTTTAAGTATGGCATGAAATAGGTTTTTTCTCTATCTGTACGTTGTTGGTTTGATTTACCTTGAAACTCATTGCACTGTTAATATCAAGAAGGTACTAACATTCATTGCTGTTTATCTGCAGGATTAATAACTGTGTTGGTGAAGATAATCACTGGCTGTTTTTGCAGTTATGTTTCTACACAGAACTCCTTAGTTCTTACACCCTGCTACTTGATTTCTGCCACTGTTACTACTTTGAACCACTAAAAAAAGTCAATTGGGTAAGTTAATTTTCTGCTTGTATGGTGTGGATAAATGGTAATTATACGACAGCATGTTTTGATATGTTAAAACATTGATAAATTGAAGAGAATAAACCCTTCAAAATGTTAGTGCTCAGAAAAACAACATAAAATTTCTACAGAGTCCATTTTAATTGTTAAGAAGAGGCATATATATCTATGCGGTGGAGTCAATTTTGATATTGCGGCTGTGATTCAGATATACAGGTTCTACAGGAAATCCCTCCCAATGATAAACATGTTGTACAGCAAATGAAATTCTTCTGTGTATACTACTTATTTTTCCCATATCAGTACTCGCAACATACATGTGGGCATGTAGTGCAGATACTAATGGGTTGAGCTTTCCAAGTGTGTCTGTGTGGATGTTTAAAGAAATGTGAGCACACACTTACTTTGTCCGTTCTACTGTATTTTGTCTGCAGTTGTCCACATAATGTGTGTGAAGCTTTCCTGAAATGCAGCTTGTTTGAAACAGAACAGGATATGGCATGGAGAACTGCAGTGAGGGTGGGGGTGGGATTGGTGAAAATTGGATGAGTCAACTTAAGTGAGCATAAATGCTTTCTACTAAGACAAAGATGTAACTGGATACAATTCAGTACATAGGAGAACCATGAACATCATGTTTTCCTAGGGATAGACAACCTGCTCAGAAGCTATTCACCAGGCAGTAATCTAGGGGTCAGAAGTATATTTTGCTTTATAGTGCAACTTCTTTGCAGATATTCAGGCTTTATAGTAAAGGACACATGGATATTGAGTGCAGTTTTTCATACTGTGAAAAGAGGTGGCATTAAAGCTTGAAAGTTGTCTCAGATTTTGAAAGGAAACTCTAGAAATTCTTTGTTTTTTACTGCCCCATGGTTCAAATTTGATTTGACAAGTGGAATTACTTTGCACACCATATCTGGTATACAGACTACCTTTTTATTATTGCTGCTTTAATTCCAGTTCACTATTCCTGTTTTAGTATATTGCATAGCATTTCCCACCCCACCTTGTCAGGTCTGTAAGTGAAGCCTACTGATTTCCTTTTTTTATTGCTGCTTTGATATGTCTTCAGATACTTGGATTTTGATATTAGAAACAATCTCACATTGTTGTGAGATACAGCAAGCTCTTTTTCCCCTTGATTAATCAATATCTATTATGCCATAAACAAAAACTAACATTTTTAAATGAGAAACATTTCCTTACATTTTGCCCATTGCCCCAGTTGGGACAATCAACTGAGCTGGATAATGAGAAACTTTGGTTAATTTGAGATTAACTGCAGCTCATGTACAGAGCAGAGCAGAGCTGCAGGCTTGAGCAAAAGGCTTGTTCATACCTTGATTTATTAACTTAACCATCGTGTCTCATTAGTGCTGATGGGAATGTTCATTTCTGATCTGTCTTTCCCATTCTAACTAGGGTCAAAATTAGATTAAAATAAATTTATCTTTCTAAAGTTAAATGCAAACTGTTTTTGTTAAAACACTTGCATGTAATTTGGGATGTTGCTAGAGGTTATCTAAAAATATCATAGTGTTCTGTCTACATTGATTTAGAACAAGAAGGGTCTATTGTGAAATAGTTTTCATATAAATGCCTAAATAAGTCATGCATCTGAATGATTATTAGGAGAACAGAGCCATGCAATGGCTATCTTTTACTAGCACTGTGTTGATTAAAGGCTTGAAGTGATGAATTTGGATACTCCTGTAAGTGACTTTCTTCAGAAGATTAGGACATTGGCATTCTGTGCTGTTTACATATTGCAAATTATATAATTCAGATGATTTAATAGTTATAACTTAAGAAAATAAACTGCAGAACTAATGGCTGAATGAGAAGATATAAAATTAAATATAATTTGGGAATTCAGCCAGATTTACAGCTTTAGAAATGACATCAGTGTACCATTTGGCTGATTTCTGACTCTGGAGCTGAGGATTTGATACCCTCTGTAGCTGTGTGTCACCCAATTACACATTCTGCCCTTTGGCACAAAGGAACAGAAACAGCAAGCATGTTCTGCAACAAAATTATACATAGTATTTCCACAACAGATAAGTGGTGTAGAAGTTCAAGACAAAAACTGAAAGTGTTCTAACATGAGATGTACACTGCAGGCATGGCTGCTCTGTTTGTCAATTTTTGTCCACTAACAGTTGGATCTTTATTTTTTTCAGCCAGCATGGCTGCTTGTTTGCAGTGCCCATCCAGAATCTTTACAACACAAAAGATGATGATGATGACTACATTTCTATTACTGCCCATACCTGAAGCTTTCCGGACAGTTCACAACATTTAGGTCACCCATCCAGATTTCAACCAGGCCTGACCTTGTTTAGTTTCTTAGATTAGGCAGCATCAGGCATGTCAGGGTATATGGAAGCAGAAGATGACAGGAAAATGCACAGGTGCACCACTTGTCATAGGCCAGTGTGATTGGATGGCATTGTAGGTTTGAGGCTCCCGCTGTGTAATCACATGGTTATTTCTTAAACTTTAAAATGGAATAAGCCCCCGCTTTACCTGGAAAATAGCTGAGAAATTGACAACTGCCATTTTGAAATTTTGTTTGTTTGTTTAAAACTGTTGTACCCCGTTCAACTATGACATCTCTGGACAGCTTACAACACAGAACAAATAACAAAACAATGTTGGTTTATAGCAAATTTAATCATGTGTTTCAACTTATCAAAATTGCCAGTACTTTCAGGATTCAATCCTAAGACTGCAAGACATAGTCTAGAAGGCCCTAGGATAGGTCAGAATCCCATCTGTGATCTCAGCTATGCATTCTGAGGTCAGAGCTGGAACTCCACCCTTGCGCCCAGAGCAGTTCTTTCAGTGCTGGCTACAGCTCTGAGGTTAGGAGTGCTGGGGAGTGTGGGAAGGGGTGAAGCTGTGCTGAGAAATGAGGAATCTGGGTGGTGCCTCAGCCACTCCTCAGAAGCATGAGCAAAAGACATGGATGTCCAAAATCAGCTGTCTATGTCTTTTGCAGGATGGGAGCAGCACAGAGCCAGTTCTTGCCTCTGTACTTCCACCTTCAGTTGGATTGCCTGTAATCCTCTGAATTTGGAAGGTTTAGTCACATAATAAGGTTTTCTGCATAGAAATGTACTTTAAAAATCTCGCTTAATTAAAAAGTATTAACATTTTTATCTTCCCCATGCTCCCCTTGGCAATATCTGTATGACTTTTTAATACCTTACCTACTGTAGAGAGGTCTTTATTTTTGTGACCGAAGAAATAAGATTTAGTTTAATGAAATGGATAATTATTTGTGTAATTCCAAGAAACCAATAGTTACAAAATAAAAGCTAAGTATTGGGGCGGGGGGGGAACTATAATCCTTAAGGTATAAAATGTAGTCTCTCATTGGTTTGGTAGGCAGCAGGTACTGTAGCTGTCTGTCCAGTAGGAGGAGTTGTACTACTGCAAGAGCTCACTAGAAAGAAACAACATGAATCTATGAAGACATTGTTGATCTTGTATGTTGACCACTGTGAAAAGTATTATTTATTTCATAACTGGCAGCTATAACTTTTGATACAGGAAATGCTGTACTTTCTGGAAAATGTGAAAACACTGTGTGTGTGATGTGGATGGGCAGTATATAACCACAGTAACTAAGCCTGGGGTCTTCAACTCTGCACACTTCGTATCTTGTTAAATTTGACTGGGTATTAATGGAGTAAGAAGCTGCCTTATTCAGAATCAGATGATTATCTATTGCTCTTGCAGCAGATTTCCAGGTATTCATTAAGATACATCCAGCCCTACCATTAGATAAAGTGAGGTAGTAGCCTCAGGTAGCTCATTTGGGGTGTTACGGAAGGACAGCAATTCATTAGCTTTTACTGTGTTTTTACCCCTAGGAGGGGGTGCTTCCTACAGTAGGACTTGTTACTGTAGGTGCCGAGATTACTTGACCAACCTTGGCTACCATGAACCTTGACTTAAGTAGGGTGCCATCTGCTGCTCCACTTCAGACAGCAAAATGCCTTGGGTAGGTTTTGTAACAGATCTTTCTAAGCAAGTGTTGCTTTGTCAGATGCATGCTACCCTTTTGCCCAAGTGGAACTTTAAACTTTACAAATGGAATTTGCTTGTGTTTGAATCTTTTCTCCAATATGAGGTGAGGTAGAGCTGAGATTAACTTTAGTTTGGCACCAATGGCTCATTGCCTCCCTATTTGTAAGGGAGATTGTATCTGGAGAGGGACAGGTTAATATTCCTCTTCTTATGAGCTAGAAGCCCCACCCCCTAAAAACTACTCCCCTGCATGGCAATTAACCTTAGAAAAAAACTTTTCTCTTGGTTTGGAATGGCCTGAATCAGAATGTAAATTAATTCAAATAATTCATTTTATTTGAGCTGATTTTGATCAGAAACAAATTGGTTGTTTTTGCCTTGTGTGAAATATCAATAAATCCTAGTAATTATTTCTAAGTTTGCATATATATAAAATTATGTACAAAGTTTATGCAGATTTGTGCCCTATTTGCCTCGTTCCCAACTTTCTTAAGTGCCTAGCAGAACCGCTGTGTGCCACCATCTTACGGTGAATTCAACTACCTGACTTCATTTAACCAATAAAGGACAGTATATTGGCTTGGCCTGATGAAAGAAGTTCTATCTTTAACTGAAAGCACTGAGCCAACTTTATAGAGAGTACTTATGACATAATTACTGTATTTTTAATATCTGTATCAATCAGAATTACAGTGGTTTCATAGTGCTAAGTTCACAGACTGATAAGGTTGGTTTCTTGGAACCAGTTCCAAGAAAATACATACCATGTTTCAAAGAAATGCTCAGATGGAAGATTGGAAGGGTAACTCATGCACTTCTTTTCCAAAGAAATGGGAAGCCAGATGTCTGTGTGACTTTCCCCATTCTTTTACACTTGGATGCATTCTGGGTGTCTGCAGCAGAAACTATAGATAGTCATACTTGGCCCGTCTTCAAAGTAGCCAAACAGCAAGCATTCTTTGAGAGATTGGATGCAAATGGCAAACACTGGGCCAATCACTGATTTTCAGCCTAATTCAAAGGGTTGTTGTGAGGATAAAATGTGGGTGGAGGATCATTACACTGTAATGGAAAGCTCTCAGGGATTCCCTGCTCTCTCACCACCTGGGCATAACCTCACCCAGAATCTTTGTGGTCACCGAACCCTGGGCCAGCCACTGGATTCAGCACATGACAAAGCAAGCTTGGGTATCAAAACAAGTTAATTAAAAGGATAAAATATAGGGGTGGAGGGACTAAAACACAAAATCTAAAAGGATAAAACCAGGTAAAAGGGGGAAGGGAGGGAGGAAGGAGAATTGGACAGGAACAATAAGGCCAGTTGCAGCCAACCAAGAACCCCACTCCCAGGGCTTTGTAGGCTCACTTGGAGGAAAAAAAAATAGCCTATCTGCTGTAACTCTACCTTCTGCCAGCACAGGGTGCTACAGCAGAGAATCAGCAGCCGATGGAACCTCCCGAGAGAGTGGCAAAAGGCTGCTCTCTTCCTCGGTCCTTAGCCAGTCATCCCTGTTATGTCTGGCCTCCTTGAGGCCATAGTTCTGATAGTTCTCACCCACAGTACACAAAGTGAAGATGATACCTCCTGGAGACCTTGGGGGCCAGATTTCAGCTAGGCTAGCATCTGATTTTTTTTAGAATTTTTCACTTCTAGGATTAACCCTTTCCTTGCCCTCTGGAGCTTCAAAGCTGGTTCATGTTACATACACCACCCTGAGCTCAAAGCATAATGCAGTTTGTAAATGTAACTCCTCCTCCTCATAGCTATAGTTGCAGGTCCAGGATGACAGGAAGGTATTTGCCTTACATCTCAATAACCTGTGTCAATCGAGGGAAGTTACGCTAATAAAGCTGCTCTCAACTGGCATTGCGGGGATGGGGGATGAGACACTATGGTAAATTTTGTCTTCAGGATTGTGTAATTCTACCTATTGTTGAATGGTTATTAGTATGTGTGAATGCAAAGTGGAAGAGGGTTTTTTTTTGCGCATCAGACATTTTTCTCCCTGTTTGAACAAATGTACTTTGAGTACATGCTACTGCCTGCCTACTTTAGGAAGGACATGCTGGTGCTGACATTCCCACCTGATTATATTTGGGAAGCAGGCAGGAGATACATCTTTCTTCTGATATTCTAATGACTTGTGTGTATAAAGTGTCACTTTCCATCCGTTTTGGCTGTGCTGTTTTGAAATACTGAGAAACATTAATACCTTTTCTACCACTACTACTGGTAGCAATAATAACAGCAAGTTGGTCTTCTGGTCAAACTACCTGTATAGTATAATCTTGCTGTACAATCAAGTATTTGGGAGGGGCTAGTTGCCATTGCACATATGATGAGTTGGAGTGTTTCTTGAGGCTTGAGGTTTATGATTAGGGTGAATTTGTCTATCATCATGATGTGCCCAAAGTATAACAGCTTCAGTTTTTTCATTTTTGTTTCTAGAGAAAGTTCTGCTAGATTTGATCTTGGATATACTAAACTTTCTGCCAGTCCAGGGTATTTGCAAAGCTCTCCTCCAGCAACATGTTTCAAATGCATCAATTGTCTTCCTGTCAGTTTTCTTCACTGTCTATCTTTTGTATCAGTATGTAGTGATGGGGATATGCATGATGATGCCATTCATCTCCAGTGAAATGTCCTTATACTTGATTATCTTTTCTAGCTTCTTCATTGCTTTTCAGGCTCAATCTTCTTCAAATTTCTTGGTTGTAGTCACCTTTTAAATTGGTGACTGAGCCGAGTTATACAAAATCTTTCAAAATTTTGATGTCTTTATTGGTGGCAGAAAAATTGTGTAATTCTTCTTTAGTTCTGATTTTTATTTTCTTAATATTCAGCTGCAGTCCTGCTTTTATGCATCCTCCTTTGATTTTTATCAGGAGTCATTTCAATTCATTGCTACTTTCTGCCAGAAAGATGGCATTATCTGCATACCTTAAATTACTGATATGTCTTCCACCAATTTTCACCCCTGCTACTTCTGATCCCAATCCTGTATTCTTTATATATGTTCTGTGTACATATTTAATAGACAAGGAGATAGAATATATCCTCATCTGTCACCCTTGCCTATAGGAAACTTGTCCATTTCTTCATATTCCATCCTAATCATAGCTTTTTACCCACAATACAGGTTATACATCAGGACAAATCAAGTTCTAAGGCACACCCATTTTTTTTTTCAGAACCATGCATAGCTTCTCATGATCCACACAGTCAAAGGCTTTGCTGTGGTTTATAAAACTCAAATGTGATTTATAAAACTCGAATGTAGACCACAGATGCTTGGAGGCATCCTGAACACATTCAGGTAGGAAATTCCGCTCTGTCTCTTTCTGAGAGAATGAGCAGGGAGAATGGTCAGCTAGGCATCCTTTGGGTATGGACACCCAACACTCACCATTCCTGAAGGAATGTGGGATAGAGAGCAGAGTTGTGTGCCACTCCTGAAGATGCCCTTCCAGCCAGGACCCTATACATCCCTGCTCACTCTTTACCAGAGAAGTATGAGTGGAATGAATGGTTGCTTGAATGTAGCTGTTTCAGGGTGCTCCAAGACCTTTCAGGCAGCAGCTTCCTCCACCCCAGCATGCCCTTCCTACTTCAGGCCAGGAAGATTGTGATTTGGGGGATTGTTGGCTTGGCCCTGTGTGGCCAAGGTTGTTTAGCTAGTTTGATGGCACAGCTGCCAAACAACCTGAACCACCTCACTAACTGGGGAGGTTCCAAAGGTGCAGGGAACCCCATGCAACTGTCATGAGGTTCTTCATCCATTTCTGTAGCTTGAGAAAGAGGGGAGGCTAGTTGCTTGCCAGAGGGTGGCATCACACTGGCCATGTTGAGTAGTATTACTGTAGCCTACAACTAACACTGAACATCAAAACAAATATAAAAATTGTATGAATATTTGATCATATGTGGAATCTGGGATGTGCTTTGGGGATTTAGGATCTTGTGTTCTATGAATAAGTGGTTGCATAGGAAAACATGCTGTGGAGGATCAATAACAATATGTAGATGTCCTGATACATAATAGTGGTCTTGCTCTTGATGTGTCTGTGATGTGCTACTTTTTTGGTGTGTATGAGTTTGTTTGAGAAATTACCAAGTTTATTCAAATCTTTCTTTCTGTTTGTTGACCAATTGTACTTTGAGGTTCAGTGATGTGAGTGGTGCATAACGTTTCATTCTAGATAGGTGCCAGGGATAGGAAGGGATGGTAAAATGAAATTTGGAAGCTCAGAGCAAGTTGGCTTAGTGACATTTTGTGGCTTTGAGAAGCAAATTTTCATGTGCATCCATTTAACTGCAACACTCTTCTTAGGAAATTGACTTTAATTCACTGGAACACATGCTGATGATTTGCAAACTATACCCTATTGTCAAGGAGAAGATCCATTCTCTTGATTCTCTAGCCTGATGTAAGGAAGAAATTAGAAGTGTGTCTTTTTTCAAGGATCAAATGTCACATTCAAGACAAAAGACCTTACAAAATGCCAAACTAAGTGAGAAACACACATCCTAAGTATTGACATGACCTTTGCTTGCACAGCTGTGTGTACTGGGCTTTGTAAAGATACTGTCCCCTTTCCACACATCATTAAATACCTGACTGGCAGGTGTGGCTCTTTGTTGCTGGAAGAAAGAAGGTAGAAATGCCTTCCAACAATCGAAGATAGATTTGAGCATGGACAGGACAGAATACCTTTTAACCATCTATTTCTGACTTTTAATGGTTTGAGATTTATTTATTTATTTATTTATTTATTTGTGTTAACGTTTGTGGAAAGAAGGATCTGACATTTCAGAGCTGGTGTCCAAGGGTACATTCAGAGGCCTACTTTTGATTAATTTCAAGATTAAATTTTAAATGCAGAGAGTGGATTAAGCAAACACATTTGAGCCTGCATTAGTCTGTATTATATATACCTTATGTTCAGGACATATTAATTGTTTATAGCAATAGAAACAGAAATAGAACAAGTCAGAAGGGGCCTCCAGGGCCATCTAGTCTGACCCCTGCCTCCAGCTAATGAGTAGCTGCTATGAAGAACTGGTGTGCTGTTCAAAGGTATATTATTTCTTGAGAAATAATCTCATGTGATCTAAAGCACAGGTTTGGGCAATTGTCACCCTCCATGAATGGCACCTCTTAGGGTGGAATTGGTTATTATAAATATATGTATTTTTACCCAAACAGCAGCTGTACACAGAGTTCCACTTCTACAATGTCCAGTAGAACTCAACTCATGTCCTGAGATAATTATACTTTTCTCTAACCTATTTTTCTTTTTCTTTATTTATAGGATCTATTTGTATTTAGACATGAACTTGCCCTGACAAGAATATCTACCTTCATGGGTTTAATAATGCTAGTTGGAATTAGCGGACTCTTTTATACTCAGTTAATTGGTATATTCAATGTAAGTATTTTACTCTGCTGTTTGACATTTTATATGCATGTTAGTGTTTAAGTGCTTAAAAGTATAGTAAACGCTGTATGCAATCCTATGCCAGTTTAGACAGAAAGGATTTTTTAAAAACCAACATAGGATTTTACCATGCTTGAGACAAATATTTGCTAGGTATTGTCTAAAGGAAATTTAAATTACTAAAAGCAGAAGGAGACACAAGCAAATAAAAGAATTTGAGATAGATTCAGGGCTCAGCCAGCCAAGACTGCAAGAGATCTGTGACTAAACTGCTCGTTGGAACAAAAGAGTAAGATGGAGGGGTGACCTGGATCAGGACTGCAGCATGTGGGAGTGGCAGGAATAGCTTCAGGGACAGTTTCAGCCAAGAGCACAGATGACTTGAGCTACTGACATGATCATTCCTAAGCACCCTCTTTGTTGTAGAGCTTGTACAGGGCTTCCCAATATATCCTGAAGCTGAGAACGATGAAACAACATAGCATATGTCTTGATTGCAGATGGTGGAAAACTCCCAGTGGATACATCAAACCCTGGTGTGTGTTTATAATCGTGTATATTTAGAGACATCAAAGGTAGCAAAGAAACAACATCTCAATGCCTCTATTCAGTCTTCCACTTGCCGCCCAGCAGAGCTTTTCAGGCTTCCTGGAGCATATTGCATGTTGGCCCCAAGGACATCTTAGAACCATCTGAGAACCACTGTAATTTATTTGCTGGGCACTTCCAGCAAGACATTTCTCATATCTGCCAGGACTCCAGAGTAAAAGCAGTTGGATCTGTTGAGATATCCAGGGCACAGTCTGGCTCAGTTATAGCACTAGGCTGGGAGCAGATATTCCTTTCCTGGCCAACCAATTCCAGGCACTCTTGGATGAGAATGATTATCTGGATCAATTTCAGTTGTGGGGGCAAACCTGGTTTTGGCATAGAAACAGCTTTGGTCACTCTGTATGATCACCTTTGCCAGGAGAGGCACAGACAAGGAGAGTAACCCTGTTGATTCTCCTGGATCCTTCAGTGGCTTTTGATACCATCGGCCATTGTTTCCTCCTGAGAGGACTCTGACTTGCGAGTGGGAGCTGCTGCATTGCAGTGGTTCTGTTCCTGTGTGGAGGGCCATCTCCAGAAGGTGGTGTTTGGGGAATATTGTTCAATTGCATGGATTCTCCCGCATGGAATTCCTCCAGGTTTTTTCTGTCCCCCATGCTATTTAACATGTACACAAAACCATCGAGTGGAATCATCCAGGGGTTTGGGGTGAGTTGCCATCAGTACCCAGCTCTATTTCTCCTTCTCACTTTCAGCAAATGAAGCTGTAGATGTGTCAAACTAGTGCCTGGCTACAACAGTGGATTGGATGAGGGCCAACAAACTGAAGCGCAATCCAGACAAAACTGAGATGCTGTTGTTGGGTGTTCCTCTGACCAGATGGAGGATGTTCAACCTGTTCTAGATGGGGCTACACTTCCCCTGAAGGAGCAGGTTCATAGCTTGGAGGTTTTCCTTGATCCATCTTTGTCTGGGTGGGCCTCACTGGCTTGGAGTGTCCTCAACCAGCTTCAGCTGGTGACCCAGCTGTGCCCTGATCTGGAAAGGGGATTGTCTGGTTTCAGTAATCTGCTCTGATAATCTCTAAATTAGATTACTGCAATACACTCTATATGGGGCTTCCCTTGAGACAGTGATTGAGTCTAACTTTTACAACACAGTAAGACCCATCTCAGATGCAGAGTCAGATGCTGAGGCACCTCCTGGCTTAAGGGAGTGCAGTGATCTAAAGTTCAAGGTTTAGCTAGTTGCCTGATGTAGAACTGACCATCTTGAAGAATGGGGACTCCTCTTAACAGGTATTCTTGTGGACAAGGCCCTGCTCACAACTAGACCTTTCCTCTAGCATTTATGTTTGCAACTGTGCCCAATGGAGGGCTTGTCTAGGAACTAATCCAAGCTTCAATTGGAGAGTGGGGGAAAGCAGCAGTGGTCTTTACTGCTGGAAGAAGACAGGCAGGGAGTGGAATCCAGCACTGTGGAGAACTCCTTTGTTGTCATACCCACGCACGCACGCACAGAAGGAAGGATCTTTTGCTACCCCGGGAGCCTAGAGCAGCTTTATGACTGTATGGAACACCATTTAGTTCAAGATTTGGAAGTGGTGTTGGTGTGATAGGAGAGAATTGTGCTTATTGAGTGCAGTAGTAGCCTTAATGATTTTGCAGTAGTGCAAATCAGTACTGACACAATGTAATTTGTGGTTGCTAGTGTAAATGAAAAAGTGTTGCAGCTGTATCTCAGAATTAAATTGCCATTTTCCCCCTTCCTTTTCCATGAATTAATTTTGCTGGATTCTTCCTTCTCTTGATCTTACTATTGGGAGTTTCTAATGTTGCACAACCTCTCAAGTAAATGAAGTTGCACTGATATAAGCTGTCTCTCTATCAGTGCCAATAGCATTTACCAGCATTAGGAGTTTCCTTTGAAAACCTTTTCTATCAGGAAGCAATTTTGGCGTTGCCCAGGAAGCAGTTTACACTAGTGCAATGTCTTTTACATTAGTAGTATTGCAGTAATGGATAATACTCTATATTTGTTAGGTCAACCATGTATACTCTGTCTCATGCTTGATTTGATGAATCAATCAGAGAAGGAAGATGTTTTTTCACCTTACAACCAATAGGTATTTTCTCAGCTATTAATAGCTCATCAACTTTATATCTGCTGATAATATCCCATGTTTTATATATAACAAAATTATTTTTATTGGGTTTAAAGGTATCATGTATCCCATGGATCCTCAAACTAAGGCCAGATCCGGCCCGCCGTGCCCATGCACATGCCCACTGCCACCCACCTCGCGCTGTGCGCAGGGAGGCAGCGGTTTGTTCTCTCGGAGAAAACAATCTCCAAGTGAGCAAGCCGCTGCCTCATGCTCCTGCCTCCCCTCCCCTTGCCACACGCTCTTGCCCGCCCACTCCTCACCTCGCCACACGCCCCACCCCCACCTCAGCACACGCGCCCACATGCACCCCCCCCCCCCCCACCGGCCTGCATGCACTGCCAGCATCACCTTTCCAGCCCGCAGCTTAGCACTGGCACCTTTCAACTGGCCCCCTGCTGAAAAAGTTTGAGGACCCCTGATGTCTCCTGTCCTCTTTTCAGTTGCATTTGAAATGGAAAGCTGGTTTGTAGGGAAAAATAATTCAGCTAAGGAAACTCTTCCCCCTTCCAAATACTTTGCAAAACCAGCTACATTTCACCCTTTGCCATGCAGGCAAGCATTGCAGGTTTTAATGGAGGAAGTAACACTATTCATTGTCCTCTGGTCAGCCACTTGTCTGGAGCTTTTGACCATTCTCCCCCTGAACAAATGGAAAATCCAGCTTTCCAGTGGCTGCTTGAAGGTAACAGGATAATCACTTAAGCAGTGATCCTCTGATGTCATTGTGGGAGGCCAGTAAAAGCGGATTATCTGTGACCCAGATAAAATAATTAGAAATTACTTGGACACTTACAAATGATCTAGTAATCTCATTTCCAAAGTTAAAAAAGGTCTGTCTCTCAACATAACACTACCAGATGTTTTAGCTGAACTGCATCTTTTGAAGAGACTAATCTGAAGCCTAATTTTAAGGATTACCTTTGATTGTGTTTTATTTAAAATTCTAAACAGGATGCATTTTCATTTTTCCATATGTTCTATCAAATGAGTAATAGAGTTAAAGGATTTTACAAAAGAATTTTAGCTTAGACCTCCATGTATCATTCAGTAAAAGATACAAACATAAATATGGCATTATGTAGCTGACATACTATGTTTTTTGTCATTTGTATTTTCCATCTGCCGAAAATGTTTCTGATTACATACTAATTGTTACATTTAATAAGTATTTTGCAAAATTCTTAACTACGTGTGCACTGACAGTTCTAATTTGAGTGATACTATGTGGTTTCTCTTTTAATTAAACATTGAAGCTGGACATGGTAATGTGATGCTACTGTTGAATTACAGTTCAGTGGAATGGTAGATGATTTTGCTTTGATTAGAATCAGAAAAAGCATAACATAAGTGTGGGCGTTGGGTGCTCTTTTTTATACATTTTGATATCGACTTGAAGTATAAGACAGGAGGCAGCTGAATTTCCCACCCACTTCTTTCCCTGCCAGCCCCCAGAGCAGTGGTCCTCAGGTGTTTTTGTTTTGTTTTTGTTTTTGTTTTGATTCAGGGCCATATTGGGGAAGTTGTGAAAGTACTGTGCATGTCACCACAGTAGATGTCCACATGGTAGATGTGGCTAGTCAAATAATGGATGTCATGGGCTTGACTGCTCAAAAGAGAGCTAAGGACATGGTGGAGAAGGGGAAGAACAAGGCTGTAGGCTGGAAGGGAGGTTAAAATAGCAAAGCAGAAGGGTAGAGAGGGAAGAAGGAGCAAGGCAAAGAAAGAAGACTACCCTAACATTTTCAAAGATTTTTCTTAAAACAATTTATTTTAAGTGCTTGTGGAGAGGAAAGTTTCATGGATGGCACTGTGGAAGTTCCTCTGTTGGATGGTTTTGTTGTTATGTGATGTCAAGGCATCTTCCACATATGGCAACCCTATGAATTCCAAATGCCCTGTTTTTGACAGTTGCTCAGTTCTTGTAAACTCAAGGTCATGGCTTCCATTACAGAACTGATCCATTTTATAATTGGTCTTCCTTTTCTTCTGCCTTCAACTTTTCCTAGAAGTATTGTCCTCTCCAGTGAGCATGCCTCAGAGCCTTCTGAAAATGCCCCTGAGAGTCAGGAGATTTTACTGATTGGGCTGGAGTACTGTGCAGGAAGTTAAGGGGGAAATCTGGCAGTAGTATCTGGGAGTACAGCAGAAGATGTCCCCACCCAGTTTTCTGGAAGCTGCCTTTTCCAGTACAGCCTGCACTACTGAGTAGTCCCTCAGGGTGCACAAAGCATTGAGGAAGCATTCGGAGAGGGACTCACAGGGAGAGGAGGAGGCAGGACGGTCAGTTTCTGCACACCTCCTTCCATAGACAGGTAACTCAATTTTACTACACTGTGTGGGTTGTTCCTGTAAGTTCTTGCTTATCCTTAATACAAGCAAGGTGCTATCAATACTCGTTTCTTAAAATATTGCATTATTGATTTACACTACTATGAATAGATTAGAAACTGATTGCTGTATGTTGGTCTCTCCTGCACCTCTGTCCGTGTGTGTGTGTGTGTGTGTGTGTGAATTGGTTAAAAATGCTGGACTTCTTTATTAAACTACCCAGGCTCAAAATAAAACACAATAAATCATCTGTGAAGGATCAACAATTCACCATTTGGTACAAAGGTAGATTGTATTGAATATACCATATGAAGGGAATCAAAATTACGTAAAAACAAGTTACACATAAACATTCCCACTCTCAGTACCTTTTTGTTCTTTCGCCCAGTTTTCTCATTGCCGACATCTTTTCAAAGAAACAGAGCGGTTCTTAATACACCAAGTGTGGCGCATTCATTCTAATGAATGGGGCAGCCTCCAGACAGAGGT